CTGAGTAGAAATAATACTAGGGCATTGTTTACATTACTCAAGACAGACACAGGAGAATTATCAGTCACAAAGACAACCTTTACACAGACAGCTAATTTTAGACTCCAGAACAAATTCAAAGCAGGCTGGTTGCCCCGGAGACAAATATCTGCTTGCCCCTAGAGACAAATACACGAGGTCATTTTCCCAGGTGTTTTGCTGATTCGTGGTCAGAACTCGAAGCAACTTTAGTAGACATAGATGGCACGTACTGCCTACCACTGAAGGTCCAGCTGATTAATTGTTATTGTTAAGTCTTGAATTCCAATGTCTTTTTCTGTCTGGGAACCCTAACCCACTTTAGGCTACATGCAAGGCCAAGCGTTACTCACTGCCCGGTCAATGTGACATCTCTACCTAAGAGGAACTACGTGACTTATCATGTTTATGAAAATGAGTCAGTCCCTGAAAATGTAACTTATAATTGTTCAGGGTTTGGACTGTTCGAGACAAGAGCAGAAGAAGGGTGTAGAGAGAGAGAGAGGGAGGGAGGGAGGGAGAGAGGGAGGAAGGGAGGGAGGGAGGAAGGGAAGAGAAATAGGTGTGAGAGATGTAGAGCTAATGAGAGAAGCTGTGAAGAGAGATGTTTTTCAGAGAGGATTTTTTCAAAATAAATAGAAAGTTACCATCAGAAAGCATCTGTCTTTCCCCTCCAACAGAAAGTCTAATCGTCAGATAAGAATGTTTTCTAAGCCCTCACCGAATTCATGGTTATTTTTTGCATATCCTGTGTGCTGACTGGAGGCTGGACCCCCAGTTAGCCATAGATGACTTAATTTTATGAAGCTTCCAGGTGCTTGTTCCTTATGCAGGATGTAAACAGACAGCTATTACAGTTACCTTATTCTGCTACAGAACTCTAGTAACATTCGGTATTCCAGTATAACTTAGGTTTTAACTGAGTTAATTCCATCTGCATGACTTGCTTTCCAAATTAAAGTCACACCTAGTTTTAGGAAAGGGTATAAGCTGGGAAGTCTCAACTCATCAAATTCTTACAATTCTGTTATAGTATCTTCTTATGGTGTGCAGTTATGGAATAACTTTCAATAATCCCCACTTCCTGGTTACCACCCCTCTACGTGTGCACTAGGTCTACAGGAGTTTCTCTGGGCACGAGATTAGGTAAAAGGACTTAGATGTCTCTGCTGTAAGCCTCTGTGATACCCACCTTCTGTAAAAAATTTTTGGCTCTCCTTACTCTCTGCCTTGAGAAAGCAAGGTATTCGGTTACGAGCTATGCTACCATCATATCACCAAAGTCCAACTTGGGGAATTATAAGTTTTATTGGGGTTACTTACAGGAGCAGAAGTGACTCAAACACATCACAAAAGCCCACCCCACCATGGGTGTCTATTGCGTAGGAATCAAGATTCACTAGTTTATTCAGGGAGAATGCACTCACATAAGAGGGGGGTGACCACCGCAGGTTCCAGCTCCAAGGATCCTCCCAGACTGTTCCCTGTGACCCGACTGGAATCAAGAGAGTGCTTTGGGGTCCAGCACCCCAGATCTAGAACTCTCTCAGTCACCTCACCTGTGACCACACCCAAACGGACATGGTCAGTGCTACAGGTGTAGATGGGGTGGATATCTCACTATAATTCCCCTTTTAGTCTAAAGAAAAAGATTTAGGCTTGATATGAAACTATATAGCAAGTATCAAGTATCCTCTAGGAGAAGGAAAAGTAGGAACAACACACTTAAGATGTATAGCCAGTGACACAGCTAGAGCAAACGGCAAGAACCTCAGGTGTTGGTTCACAAAAGCTGGGAACCTGGAGAACACTGCAGTCTGCAGACAGCTTACAGGTTGGCCTAAACTCCTTCCATATATCTTGGCTAGTTTCTGCTTCTTCCAAGCAGCTGGGCTGGTCTTGTGCAGCTTGACTGCTCTAAGAGTGACTTTAGAGGCTTTGTTGTTTATTCTCAGAAGGATGGGTTGGGATCTAGTGAGTCTGGTCAGTTTCAGGAACTTTCTGAAGCTGTTTTCAGCTACTTGCTCTAGAGTTCAGTTCCCAGCAGCCATCATCTATAGTGGGATAAGTTGCCCTCTACTGGTATAAAGGTGTACATGCAGGTAGAACACATAAAACCATAAATACATAAATCTTTAAAAAGAAGATCATAAATAATTAATGGGAATTAGTTTATAAGGCTGTGGAGAGATGGCTCGGTGGTTAGGAGCACTTGCTGCTCTGGCAGAGGACACAGATTGTGTTCCAGCACCCACGTGGGGCAGCTTGCAACCCGTGTTAATTCTAGTTCCAGGGGTTCTAATGCGGTTCACATACATACACTCAGACCCACATAAATACACATAAAGTAAATAAATAGATCTTTTAAGAAGAAATTATAACTTCTAATGATTTCAAGCCAAGGCCAGGAATTAGTGGGGTATTGTGCTCAGAGCCTTTGTATAGACTTTCAGCTGAAGATATGGCCCAGATTAAAGGCATATGTCTTCCTGCCTCAAGATCCAAATTAAAGGTGTGTGTCTTCCCACCTCAAAGGTCTGGACTAGAAGTGGATTCATCCTTCTCAAACGAAGCAAAAGATCTCTCACAGATGTGCCCTCCATTTCTGGGTTGTAGTTCATTCTAGATGTAGTCAAGGTGACAACTGAGATTAACCATCACAATAACTCATAGAATAAGCTATCTTGGGGCTTCCAAGATGGCTCAGTGGATAAAAGTTCCTGTCAATAGACCTGATGACCTGACTTTGATCCCTGGAATTCATATAGTAGAAGGAGACAACCAACTTAAACACACACACACACACACACACACGCACACTAAATAGCTAAATAAATGTAAAAACACTTTTAAAAAGAATAAGGTATCTGTTCCCTTTGAGGTCCTTAAAGAGCCAGTGCTCTTAGACGCTGAGCCATCCCTCCAGCCCTTAATCACGGTTTATATTAAACCAGGCGCTCTTTTAGCACTTCACGAAAAATTTTAGCAAGCCTACATGCTTAGTTTTTTAAAAGTTATTGTTAAATAGGTGGCTCTTTAAGGATAAAACAAAAATAAAAACAAAACCAGCTTTCACAGCCTGATAGATTTTTAGATTCTTTTCAGGGGGCAAGATTTGTTTTATTTGCTTTTATTTATATATCTGAGACTAGCTACTTAGCTCAGGCTGAACTTCCGATCCCAGAGATTTCCATTCACGACTGGCTTCCTGGTGTTCAGCTGCAGCCAGAGACTGAGGGAAAGAAACCCCACGACAGAGCAGACCTGAGTTTGAGGACAATTTGTAGACTGGACGCAGCTCAGGCAACCTAGACTGACCCCCCCAGAATAAAATAAGATGAAAAGAAAAGAAAATAAGAAAAAAATCCAAGAGGAACCCAGGGAAACAGACGCCGCGCGCAGGACGAACTGCGCCTGCACACTGAATGCCACTGTATTCGTGGGCGCCCGCGCTCAATCCCGGCGAGGGGCGGGGCCTCCTGAGGGTAGCCCTGTGACTGACAGGTAGAGCCCCGCCCTCTCCTTCCCTGCGCTCGCCCCTGGGCGGGAGGTGTCAGTCGGCGTCCGAGTTCCTCAGGAGGCAGATCCAGCGGCGGCAGCGGAGGCGCCAGGGTGACGGGATGCAGACTGCGCACCGCACCGGCGGAGCCCGAGAGGCTTTCTAGGCTCAGCCCGTGAGACTCCAGATCCCGCTCCAAGTGCCCACACCCACTCACGTAGATCTGGGTCCCCTCGGCGTGACGCGCGGGCACACACACACACACGGGGCGCGCGGGGACACACACACACACACACACACACACACACACACACACACACACACACACACACATGCTTTTCAGCTTCTCTCACACACGCGCGCGTACACACACACACTCCTCAGCTTCACTCAGGCACACACTCCTCAGCTTCACACACAACCGCGTACACACGCTCCTCAGGTTCACACGCGCGCACGTACACACGCTTTCCTCAGCTTCACACAGGCACACACACTCCTCCGCACACACACATGCTTTTCAGCTTCTCTCACACACACGCGCGCGTACACACACACACTCCTCAGCTTCACTCAGGCACACACTCCTCAGCTTCACACACAACCGCGTACACACGCTCCTCAGGTTCACACGCGCGCACGTACACACGCTTTCCTCAGCTTCACACAGGCACACACACTCCTCCGCACACACACATGCTTTTCAGCTTCTCTCACACACACGCGCGCGTACACACACACACTCCTCAGCTTCACTCAGGCACACACTCCTCAGCTTCACACACAACCGCGTACACACGCTCCTCAGGTTCACACGCGCGCACGTACACACGCTTTCCTCAGCTTCACACAGGCACACACACTCCTCCGCACACACACATGCTTTTCAGCTTCTCTCACACACACGCGCGCGTACACACACACACTCCTCAGCTTCACTCAGGCACACACTCCTCAGCTTCACACACAACCGCGTACACACGCTCCTCAGGTTCACACGCGCGCACGTACACACGCTTTCCTCAGCTTCACACAGGCACACACACTCCTCCGCACACACACATGCTTTTCAGCTTCTCTCACACACACGCGCGCGTACACACACACACTCCTCAGCTTCACTCAGGCACACACTCCTCAGCTTCACACACAACCGCGTACACACGCTCCTCAGGTTCACACGCGCGCACGTACACACGCTTTCCTCAGCTTCACACAGGCACACACACTCCTCCGCACACACACATGCTTTTCAGCTTCTCTCACACACACGCGCGCGTACACACACACACTCCTCAGCTTCACTCAGGCACACACTCCTCAGCTTCACACACAACCGCGTACACACGCTCCTCAGGTTCACACGCGCGCACGTACACACGCTTTCCTCAGCTTCACACAGGCACACACACTCCTCCGCACACACACATGCTTTTCAGCTTCTCTCACACACGCGCGCGTACACACACACACTCCTCAGCTTCACACACAACCGCGTACACACGCTCCTCAGGTTCACACGCGCGCACGTACACACGCTTTCCTCAGCTTCACACAGGCACACACACTCCTCCGCTTCTCTCTCACACACAGCTTCACACACACTTCTCAGCTTCTCGGGAACTCCAAACGCCCTTTGGTTTAGTCCCAAATGCACCTGCGTGGAACCAACCCACCCTCTGAGGAATCTGGGTAGCTCGCCACAGAGAGACCAAGTTTCCACACTGGGAACCTGGACTCTCAGGGTAGAGACCCTCCCATGCCCCCTGAGGCCCCAAACACCCTCAGTGCTGACTACCTGCCACTCCTTCCAAGATCTTAAATTTGGTCCTCCAGCACGACTCTTAAGACCTTCAAATGACAAACCTCAAATCTTCTTGACATAAGCATGCCAAATCTCCTCAGGGTGAAAGTCCCCAAACCTTGTCTTGAAGACCCCCAAATGCTCACATCCTGAGAGACTCCTACAAATCCCAATTCCCACAACCTGACGAACCCCAGTCCTTAACCTGCGGTACCCTAAATTAAAAATCTCAGCCAGAGGGTCCTCAAATCTTCATTGGAGGGACTTCAGTCCCTTGTCTCCAGGATCCCTGAATCCACTGACATGAAAACATCCCTCCAAGACCCAGCATGGTCAGTCAGAGGCCCAAGTGCTCTGCCCTCACTCCTTGGTCCAGATGAAGAGCAAGTGGCAGGAGCCGGGCTAGAACCCCATTCGGTGGCAGTGGAGGGGAATCCTCCACTTGCTAACGCTGGCCCTAACCTAGGTTTAGGGCTCAGTCGAGAATCACTGCACCTTTACTAGCGTACTAGACCACAGAGGCTGAAAAAACAACCAGCCAACCAAAACAACAACCAGATTCCCAGCCTCCAGCTCCTTCCCCTGTGCTGGTGGGCCTCCTGCTCACTTATGAGCTTTCGTTACTTCTCCATCCATAGGACCATAGGATCCTGGACCTCCCCCAGGGAAATGTCCTGCACCAGGAATACCAACAAGCAAGAAGGGAATAGTCCCGCGGGAGATGCAGAGAGGCTCGAGTGGAAGCCCAAGGTACAACAAGATTGTCCTAGAGTCAGGAGAATCATGGGGTGCACAGAGGCAAACAGATGACCTTGGAGACCACAGACTCCTGGCCTATGTTACCATACTGTTTTCCCTGTGACAGGATGGGGGGGGTGTCCTGATGTGTGAGAGGCTCATTAACAACTGCTTTATCATCAGGAACATCCAGGGTTTGCTTAAAGAGGCTTCTGTGATGGGGAGAAAATCTTGATCACTGAGGCCACTCCAGGGTCCCATGCTCTGCCCTGCACGTTCTGTTTTTTGTTGTTGTTGTTGTTGTTTGTTTATTTTTTTCCTCCAGGTCAAAGATGAGTTCAAAGATATTTCCATATACTTCTCCAAAGAAGAATGGGCAGAGATGGGAGAGTGGGAGAAAATTCGCTATAGGAATGTGAAAAGGAACTATAAAATGCTGATTTCTATAGGTAACAAGAAGTTTTGGGTCACACCAGCCTAGGTAAAAACCTCCAATTCCCCTGTTATGTTGGTGCACTTCCCAGGTATCTAGAGTGGCACAGTTCCCTGTGGAGACAAGTTTAGAGGAAACTGGTGTGTGTGTGTATGTATGTGTGTGTATCCCAGGCTAAAAGTCAACACAGCACAGGCCATACCAAGATCCCATCTCTTCTCCCAGAGTCCACCTGCCCTGTGATACTTTTCTTTTGTTCCTTCTTGTAGGGCCTGCTTCCTTTTTTGTTTGTTTGTTTGTTTGGTTTTTCCGAGACAGGGTTTCTCTGTGTAGCTTTGGAGCCTGTCCTGGACTCGCTCTGTAGACCAGGCTGGCCTCAAACTCACAGAGATCCACCTGCCTCTGCCTCCTGAGTCCTGGGATTAAAGGTGTGTGCCACCACCGCTCGGCTTTCCTGCTTCCTTTTTAAGAGGAACATTATGCTTCTTTTCAGGTCTCAAAGCACCCAGACCAGCTTTCATGTGTTACCAAAGGCAAGCATTCAAGCCCCAGATGGATGACAGTGAGGATTCTGATGAAGAATGGACGCCTAAGCAGCAAGGTGAGGGGTCAGGAGGATTTAGAAGTACCCATTTGAAACCAGGCCAGATTTAGGTTTCAGAAATGTCTTAGAATTAACTTCTGGAAACTGTTTTTTTTTTTCCCCTCAAGACTCAAAGGCCAGCAAGCAAACAAGATGCAAGACAAAATACAGTTAAGAAGCTATTCCTGTACATTTTAAAATATCTGAAAATTGTGTACTATTTATATATACAATAAGTATGAAATATAGCCGGGCAGTGGTGGTCCACGCCTTTAATCCCAGATCTCTGAAGGCAGAGGCAGGAGAATGTTTGTTTCTTTCTAAGATGACTTGTCTTTCTTTCTTTCTTTCTTTTTTTTTTTGTCTTGTTTTTTGAGACAGGGTTTCACTGTGCAGCTCTGGCTGTTTGGAACTTGCTTTATAGAATAGGCTGGTCTCGAACTCCCAGAGATCTGTCTACCTCTGCCTCCCAAGTGCTGGGATTAAAGACATCCAGCTTTGACTTGTATTTCTTTTTTCTTTTTTTGGGCTTACTTGTTCTTGTTGAGAATCCCATGAGTAAAAATATGTACCAACGAAAAACACTGATTTCTCATCACTTTCCAGGTAGTCCTCCTTGGGTGCCTTTCCGAGTGAAGCACACTAAAAAACAGAAGGTAAGTCCTTCCCAGATCCTACAGACAAGAACTCTCCCTGTGGATCTAAGCATAGATAAGAGGAGAGTCATAGAGCACCCTGGGAACAACTGCCTTCCCATTCTCTTCTGCATCTTCTCTCATCCTCATCACTATTTGAATTTAACAAGAATATCAATAGTAGTAACTGAACTTGTTTTATTTTCACAATATTCCAGGTTGTAAGTATTTTCATATTAATAAACCCTATAAGACAGTAAGTAAATTATAACCACTTTATAGATAAGGAACTGAAATGTCCAGTAATAATGCCTGAGATCATAGCAAGCAGTGTTCTAGTCAATTCCAAAATTCTTTCTCCAAAGCTCTTTAAAACTTAGTGTTATGGACTGGAGAGATAGCTCTGAGGTTGCGAGCACTGGCTGCTCTTCCAGAGGTCCTAAGTTCAATTCCCAGTGCCCACATGGTAGGTCACAAAATACATGCCAGAACATTGTATATATAATAAATAAATATTTAAAAAAGAAACTTTAAAAAAACTAAATATTATAAAGTCATAGCATTAGACATTTCATATCACCCACCTCAGTGTTTTTACCTCAGTTTTTTTAGTGCTATGTCAAAGTGGGAAATACACTAATGTACTCTGAGGGTAGTTTACAAATACAAAGAGAAATTTTACTTTGCATGGCACAGATAAAGGAGATATGGTCCTCAACCTCATAGAGACTAATTCTGAAAGAGCAGCTCTCAGCCCTAAGAAGATTCAAGTTTGACAGCAAGGGATCCACAATAAGAAAATGACTTAATCAGGCATGGTGGTGCATGCCTGTAATTATGTGGGAAACAGTGTCAGAAAGAATACTGTGAATTTGAGGCCAGCTTAGTCTACATAAGGATTCCCAGGTCAGCCATGGGTACACAACGATATAGTGCATCTTGGGATGGGGAAGAGAAAATGATGTAAGACTTCCATATAGGTATACACTATTCCATTGAAATGCCATCTGTGGGAGAGACTATGATAGAAGTCATTAATCCCACATTAATACTATATTCAATTGCACATGTTCTATTCAGTATCACAAAAGAATTAGCATGTATGGAGGCTGGAGAGAGGGCTCAATGGCTATAAGAGCAGTTCTTGTTCTTCCAGAGGTCCTGAGTTTGGTTTCTAACAGTGCAATTCAAAGCTGCTATTAGCTCCAACTCCAAGAGATTGAATGCCCTTGTCTGACCCTGACAGAACCTGTGCACATGTCACACTCACACACACACACACACAGAAGTGAAAATAAATGCTTAAAAATGAACAATTAACGTGTATATCCATTTATGATTGAGATTAGTGAATTTTTCTGGCAAAATTAGTCCAAGAACTAGTTAATCTAATTTCACAGTCAACCTAAGCATGATGGCTCAAATCTGTAATTCAAGCACTTGAGAGCCTGAGGTAAGAAGTCTTGTGAGTTTGAGGCCAGCCTACATAATGAGACCCTGTCTCAAACAAAGGACCTAATTCCAGAGCCAACTATTTCCAACATTGCACTTTGCAATTTTAGCATCACTTAGTTGTATAGGCACATTTCTGCCGACCATATCTTCATTCTCTTCCCAAAGTTACTCTTCTGCTCTTTTACAGGTGTGTTTTATCTTTCCTTTGTTTTCTAAATTTCTCATCTCACCAAATATCTCCTACTTTATAGATATGCCCTCTTTCTCTCTGTAAGCCTTACCCTCTTTATTTACAAACTTTGCTGACTTTCCAGCTAGCCTTCCCAAATATCCCTCCCCACAGCTTGAAACGAAGCCTGAAGGGAGAGAGCCTAGGATATAGCCTCTTGCCCTAGATTCGTAGCTCAGGTAGGTTCTTCCTTTTCTCTTTCTTATTAAAAACAATTTACACACACACACACACACACACACACACACACACACACACACACACACACACGTCCAAGGATTTTTTCACTCATTAGCTAAAATCACATGTGAAAGCATATGGAAAGCCATAAAGAACTACAGAAATGCCTGTTGTGTTTTTGTATGTGCCTCTAATTAAAGGAAACACAGAGAATACCATTAAATAAAGAATCTAATGTGAAGGAGGTGTCTGGATCTGAAAATTTGCTGAGTACAAGTGGCTCAGAACATGTCCAGAAAACAGTTTTCTCTCCTGGAGAAGGAAATGCTTCTGGACAGCACACTGGACAAAAACCAAGTAAGAGCAAATAATTTGGTAGCTTTAATCCCTTTAGGTTACCTTGAAAGGTTGATGAGAATGGTCTAGAATGGTCTAGAGTAATGAACTTCAGAAAGTTCTGAGCTTGGTCTTGTCTAAGATATGGCATTGGGAGTGGGCATGCTATTAAGTACTGTAGCAGGACTGACTTTAAAGACATACATTTGGGCTGTTATTCACATGGAGGGACCAGGCCTTGGGCAATCTGTGAGCTTCTAAATGTTAATATGTGGAATTAAGGATAGATAGCTCCTATGTTGCTTTAAAACAGCAAGTGAAGCATAAAACAACTGATTCAGGCAAGGTGTCCAATAAATCTCTGTGGCAATAGGAACCAAATTCTCTCAATGCTGTGCTCCCCAGGCCTTTGCTCAATTGCCTGATCTGCAGCGTGCCATCAACAAATATTTTCTAAATGAATCAATACATGAATGAACCATTTTAAGTAGAAAATGTGGGCAAGTAGAAATTAAACCTGTAAAGTCAGGAATTAAAATTGGATTAGGCAGGGCTGGAGAGATGGCTCAGAGGTTAAGAGCACCGACTGCTCTTCCAGAGGTTCTGAGTTCAATTCCCAGCAACCACATGGTGGCTCACAACCATCCGTTATGAGATCTGGTGCCCTCTTCTGGTGTGCAGATATATATGGAAGCAGAATGTTGTATGCATAATAAATAAATAAAAGTCTTTTAAAAAATTGGATTAGGCATCTGTTGTCAATTGAAGGCAGAATCTTAGCTTCTTTTCTTTTCTGGTTTTTTGAGACAGGGTTTCTCTAGCTTTGAAGCCTGTCCTGGAACTCACTTTGTAGACCAGGCTGCCCTCAAACTTACAAAGAACCACCTGCCTCTGCCTCCCAAGTGCTGGGATTAAAGTCATGTGCCATTATTGTTGAGCAAATCTTAGCTTCTTTAAACAGAAAGTTAAAAGGGAAGCACAGTATACAGAACAATATAATTTTATAGCAATAAATTTCACATTTTCTTTTAAGATTTTTAAAGTAAATTTAGTTTCTAAAGATTATTTTTTATTGTGTATAAATGTCTTCCTCCATGTATGTATGTGTACTATGTGTGTGTCTGATGCCTGCAAAGACTGGAGAGAGGGTTTGATTACCTAGAACTGGAGTTATAGATGGCTGTGAGACACTGTGTTAATGCTGGGAACCAAACCCAGGTTCTCTACAATAACAGAATGAGCTATCACTCCAGACCCAAATTTTAGATGTTTCTGAAGAAATAGGGATAAATGCCCCAGGTTCACAAACTTTGACTCATCCTTGTTCTCCAATCCAGAACTAAGGAGAAAGAATGTTGAAGTGAAGATGTACAGTCTTCGAGAGAGAAAAGACCTCGCATATGAAGAGGTCAATGAGCCACAGGATGATGACTACCTCTGTAAGTGTCCGTCAGGGCCTTCTTGTGTAGAAGGCTGTTCTGATGTAATGACTCATCTAGGTCATGTGAAGCCTAGATTACATCTATTCTTGTGACTTTGGTGTAGACTGAGAGGGAATGACAGGGGTGCTGTGGTCTTCCTGAAGACCTTTAGATCTGGTAATGTTCACACACCTTCCCTAATCCCTGATGTTCTTATCTTAGATTGTGAGAAGTGCCAGAATTTCTTCATCAACAGTTGTCCCAGCCATGGGCCTCCTATATTTGTAAAAGACAGCATGGTGGACAGGGGGCATCCCAACTGCTCTGTCCTCAGTCTGCCCCCTGGTCTGAGAATTGGTCCATCAGGCATCCCTGAGGCTGGACTTGGAGTATGGAATGAAGCATCAGACCTGCCTGTGGGTCTGCACTTTGGTCCCTATAAAGGCCAGATCACAGATGATGAAGAGGCAGCCAACAGTGGCTACTCCTGGCTGGTGAGAAATACCTCCTTTGCCTTCATCTTCTGTCTCTACCCCCACCACACACATCCTTTCTGTGATTCCGGTGTGTTATACTAGGATGTGGTCAGGGGCAAAATGACTAATTTTGTGTACTGAATCGTCTTTGTGCAATCATGGAAGTCCTGCTTCTAGAACTGAAGGTGAGTAGGAACAGAGTGGTGCAAAGGAAACACCTGTGTATGTGATAACTCAGTAGCATCATGTAGGGTGTCCGTAAGTGGCTGATCCAAAGTTCAGGAAGCACTGATGGGAGTGCAGTGACATGATTTAATTATTGTCATCCCGGAGCCTTAACATATTTTTTTTTCTGAAACTCAGATCACCAAGGGGAGAAACTGCTACGAGTATGTGGATGGGCAGGAGGAGTCCCAAGCCAACTGGATGAGGTAAGGCCATTAGGTCTCTGGGTTCCAAGAAAGACTGTCACTCACAAGACCTGTTCCTTTCTCTTTCATCATGACTCCCTCTGTGGTTCCCATATACTTTGCTTCTCTTTTTCTCAGCACAGTACTTTTTCATATTGTGAACAGTCAGGAAAAAAGTTACTAATATTATCATTAACTTTATCAAAGCACAAATCTGCTCAGCAAAATTGGAATAATGAGGCAAACCTTAAGGAGCCTACATTCATTGAAAACATTGGATTTACAATTTGGTTTTTGTTGTTATTGTTGTTGTTGTTTTTCTTTTTCTTTTCCAAGACAGGGTTTCTCTGTGCCTTTGGAGGCTGTCCTGGAACTAGCTCTTGTAGACCAGGCTGGTCTTGAACTCACAGAGATCCGCCTGCCTCTGCCTCCAGAGTGCTGGGACTAAAGGCATGCGCCACCACCTGGGCCTGGGTTTACAATTTATTCAATATTTATGAAGCATTTATTTTGTGTTCCAGTTCAGAAAACAGATTTGATTACTTGGGCATGTCATACAACTTGTGTCTTTACAAGAGGCATGTTACAGACAATTTACTATAGGAAAGTTTGACGGTGAGTCTCCTATCTTTTGAGAAGTACAAAGTGCTGAAATAACCTACAACAAAGGACCCTCAGTCTGTGAGGACAGGAGATGTCCTTAGTTTAAGAGACGTCCAGACTGGAAGGATTTAGCTTTGGGTAATGTGTACCCTTTTCTGTGGAGGAGTCTTAGAAAATATAAACAAACTATTATTTTTCTGATATAGGACAATGTAACACAGGTTCTCCTCAAGCTCCCTACAGGATGAAATTAAACTTCCTATCCCCCTGACCTCATTTTCTGATTACAGGCATGCACCACCATACCCAGTTTTATGTGGTGCTGGGGATGGAGCCCTGATTTTTGTATATATAGGCAGGCACTCTTCTAACTGAGCTATATCTTTAACCCTGTTTTCTGAGTTGTCTGGCTAAGAGACCTCTAAGTTTCTATGGTAAACTGGGCTATGGTAAAGTGGGAAGAACTTTCAAACAAACTTGGGATCAGTGTAGAATGAAATGTAAGAGTCTAGAAACAAGGTATATGAACAGTGACAAGCTCCAAGGTATAAACTGGAAAACTAAAGGGTTAGAGAAGCAGAAAGTCACTGTTTGTCACCAGTAAAGTTAGAAGTCTAAAACAGCTTTGAAAACTGGGCTTTTGGGGGAAAGAAAGGGATCTGGGACAGAGGTGCAGGATTTGGAGCTAGGATGCACATAACACAATGAAAAAGATAGATGGGAATGTAAGGTTCTTTGAAAACCTCAGAACATGGAGGTACTGAGCACAAATCAGGGGCTAGATGCAGATACAGAACTGCCTGCCTGATGTTTCCTTCCTTTTTGTCTCTACCCTAGGTATGTGAACTGCGCCCGGGATGATGAGGAGCAGAACCTGGTGGCCTTTCAGTATCACAGACAGATCTTCTATCGAACCTGCCGGGTCATCAATCCCGGTTGTGAGCTTCTGGTCTGGTATGGGGATGAGTATGGCCAGGAACTGGGCATTCAGTGGGGAAGGAAGAACAAGAAAGGATTCGCCACAGGACGAGGTGAGCACTACTATGCCTCCTTAAAAAACAAAGAGAAGAAGGAATTCTCCTTGAAAATTTTCATGTTTCAACTCGTTTTTTCTTTAATGATTTATAGTAAACAAAAGTGAAGTTTAAATCCATTAGAGAAAAATGAAAATTTCAAGCACTTCTATAGGAGGTACAACGTCAAATGTTAAAAACTTACCATAAAAGAACTGCATAAAAACAGCATCTAGAGCACTCAGAAATAGTAATACAAGTAGTGAAAAGGGGGATGGGGAATGAGAGACTCAGGGTGAGGCAGGAAAATGAAACATGAACACCCTTTTAATCCTAGTACTTGGGAGGCAGAGGCAGGTGGATCTCTGAGTTTGAGGCCAGACTGGTCTACAGAATGAGTTCCAGGACAATCAGGACTGCTCAGAGAAACCCTGTCTTGAAAAACAAACAAAAGCAAAACAACAAAGAAAGAAAGAAAGAAAGAAAGAAAGAAAGAAAGAAAGAAAGAAATGAAATATGAACAGGATCCCTCAAAGGCACTTTTAGAAACAGAATCCACAACAAGGAATAGACACAAACCTCAACAAGAATGAAACCCTGGATACAACAGAAAGCAACTCAAAGGTGGAATAAATTTAAAAATAAAAAAACAACTACAACTTGGGGATGGTGGTGGTGCACGCCTTTAATCCCAGTACTTGGGAGGCAGAGGCAGGGGGATCTCTGTGAGTTCCAGGACCAGGATGACACACACACAAAAAAACCCTGTCTCGAAAAACCAAAAACTACAACTCAAATCCCTAGGTTTTACCTGGCTTAATCCAGAAGTTATCCACCCCACCCATTCCAGATTCTTAATGAAATGTGAGTCAAACACAGAGAAGAGCTACAGACTTTCAGAACTCTTCACCCAAAAAGGCCAATGTCAAGAAAAAAATTATTTTTTATTTTTTTATTTTTTGGTTTTTCGAGGCAGGGTTTCTCTGTGTAGCTTCAGAGGCCATCCTGGAACTAGCTCTTGTAGACCAGTCTGGCCTCAAACTTACAGAGATCTGCTTGCCTCTGCCTCCCAAGTGCTGTGATCAAAGGCATGCACCAACAACGCCCAGCTGTGTGTGTGTTTTTAATTAATATTTTAAAATTTTTCTTTGAGAGGGTGGATATGGAGGGACTGGAAATAAGCAGGATTGGGGTGCATGATCTGAAATTCCCAAAAAATTTTAAAAATGAAGGTAGAATAAAAATTTATGATTTAAGTATTCTAACTTTTAAAAAAGATTGATGTATTTATGTTATGAGTGTCTGCTTGCATGAAGGTATGTGTGTGCCATGCCTGCTGAGGCCAGAAGATAGTGTTGGATCCCCTGGAACTGGAGTTATAGACAGTTGTGAGATACCACGTAGGTGCCAAAACCAAACCCAGGTCCTCTGCAGCAAACTCTCTTAACAGCAGAGCCATCTCTCTAGCCCTAAATTTATTTTTTAGTACTTTATGAACAAAATGTATAACATATAGTGCTACAAATTTAGAGGCAAAAGAAGAAAAGTTCTCAATTACCCACCGACTCTTTTACTGAACTAGTTTATTCAGGTCCTTTTGGTTTCTTTTAAATTTCCTTCATATTTGTAAATAATATGGATATGTCATCATGCATTATATCAATTAGTTGTCAAGTAAATTGCACTCTATGCTAGGAGGGAAAATATAGAATAAACAAAATGATTGGAATGCCTGCTCTTTGGAAGCTGACTCATGCATGAGCTTGGGAAGTATGCATACTTGTACAGACCTGTGCAGAGTCAGGAAGTGACTCTGGTTTTGAAGAAAATTAATATAGGAAAAGTATTTAGAGACCTGTGGAGTAGGGGTGAATATAAATGATATTGAAGGAAGGTAACATTTGGGAGGGACAAATAGTTGGTCAAGGGTCTCAGACAGAGGAAGTGGTTCTTGTAATTGGCTTGAGGCATGAAAGGTTTGAACTTTTGAGAACAGTCTGAAATTACTTAATGGAAGAAGCAGATGGCAGAGAGATGCACATAAGCCTGTTAATGTAGAGCTTGTGACTGGTGCCAGGACAGTGGAGAAGGAAACAATTGTGGGTTCTCAATTCTCTGTTCTAAAATGATGCTTTGGTTAATTTTCTAAAATATAATTCAATGTGTGATCACCTTTGAGACTGCTTCAGTCTCCAGGGGAAAGGAGGACTGCATATAAAGGGTTGGGTGTCAAAGAGAGATGACATCTCACTAGGGATATGTTTTGAAACAGAATTTTTCTGTTATAATTGAAAAGGGATAAGAGTAAATGAAATAAGCATGAATACTTGGTGTGAGGCCTGAGGAATGAGTTAACTTTCATTTTAAGATTTGTGGATCTCAGAGAAAGACAATTCATAGCCAAGTACTGGCAGCAGAAGCCAGGGTATTTTAGTCAATAGGACCAAGAACACGATGCCTTCTCTAACCTGAATTCTACTTCCTGAAGGAGAATCCCAGTTGAATATGTATTTTTTTTTTTGGAGGGGGTTCAAGACAGGGTTTCCCTGTAGCTTTGGAGGCTGTCCTGGGACTAGCTCTTGTAGACCAGGCTGGTCTTGAACTCACAGAGATCCGCCTGACTCTGCCTCCTGAGTGCTGGCATTAAAGGCATGTGCCATCACCGCCCAGATGAATATGTATTTTTTGAAAGAGAAGACAATTTCAGATTCACACATGCTGCCTTTATCTACCCAGTTGCTTACAGTTGTCGATCTTCTAGCTGATTCACTCCAATTTAACATATCTCTTTCCCTTCTTAGGAAAAACCATTAAAGAAAATTCCACCTAAGCCAGGAAGTGTTGCTATATCTCAATGGAATGAAATAGGTGCAGAGGGTGCATGGGAAAAGGTGCATATGGATCTGAGTCAGTGGAAATGGGTGAGGCATAGGGTTGTTGGGTTAAGATAGGATATAACTTAGAAGATAGTTGTAGTTTGTAGGGCATGCTCGATACTGCACCATTTACACCAGAAGTAAAATTTCCTCTGATCCTACTTGGAGGACCATAGTCTGGCTGACATGTAGAAAGGGTCCCTAATATGAGCTTTTATAGATTTCTGTAAAAGATATAGTAAATAAAAATGGAATAAGGGAACACACTCACTGTACCTGATGGGAGACAACTTGTGTTAGTTGTTGTTTGAGACAAAGTTTCACTGCATATCCCGGGTTGTCCTTGAACTGAAGTGTTTAGACATAAACCATCAAACCCAGCTGAGTTTGTGTTGTAAACACTTGAAGACTGAGTAGTGGGATAGGCCTGGCTACATAGAAAATCAGATGCCTGGGCAGTTTGTTTATTATATTCACTTTAACCAAAAACTTCTTTCCACAGAATTAAGGACAGAGATTCATCCTTGTCTTTTGTGCTCTTTGGCCTTCTCAAGTCCGAAATTCCTCAGTCAACATGTGCAATGGAATCATCGTACTCAAATCTTCCCAGGAGCATCTTCAACAATAAACTCCAAACCAGGAGATCCCCATCCAGATCAGCTTCAGGAACAGCAACATTTCAATTCACACAACAAAAATGACAAGGCCAGAAGTCTAGAGGTCAAAGGAAAGTCCAAACCCATGCATAAATGGACAAGACAAATTTCAACAGCCTTTCCCAGCACACTCAAAGGACACATGAGATCTGAGGAAAATAAGAAAACTATGGAAGTGCTCAGAACCGGCCAGAAAACAAATACAGAGGACACAATCAAATCGTTTATTGGGTCAGAAATCTCAAGAATAGAAAGAAAATGTGGGCAATATTTCAGTGACAAGTCAAATGTCAATGAGCACCAGAGGACACACACAGGGGAGAAGCCCTATGTTTGCAGGGAGTGTGGGCGGGGCTTTACACAGAAGTCACACCTCATCAGGCACCAGAGGACACACACAGGGGAGAAGCCCTATGTTTGCAGGGAGTGTGGGCGGGGCTTTACACAGAAGTCAAACCTAATCAGGCACCAGAGGACACACACAGGGGAAAGGCCCTGTGTGTGTCTTTTCAAGAAGGATAAGAAAGCCAGTGTCAATAAAACCACACCTCAACAATCACAGAAAGACAAATGTAGCCTCTAAATATCTTCCCATTTATTTTACTAAAACTTCTGACAAGTCCACTGATTTTCTAAATTCGAGTATAAAATCATCAGAAAATCCCCATTTCTTTTCTTCGTCAGTTTTTGTTGTTGTTTTTTGTTTGTCTGTTTTTAGAGACAAGGTTTCTCTGTGTAGCTCTGGCTATCCTGAAACTTGTTCTGTAGGCCAGGCTGGCCTCAAAACCAGATCTGCCTGCCTCTGCCTTCTGTACTGGAATTAAAAGCATGTGCCCCACTACCACAAATTCCCATTTTCATGATGTGAGATGAGCTAGAAAAACAAACAACAAAAGCAAAAGAGGAGGCTGGAGAGACGGCTTAGTGGTTAAGAGCACTGGGCTCCTCATCCAGAGGACCAGGGTTCAATTCCCAGCACCGACATGGTAGCTCACAGCTGTTTGTAACTCCCAGACATGACACCCTCGTACATACATGCAGGAAAAAAACATCAATGCATAAAAAAGCAGAATGGTTCTTGGATATCTAAAGGATGTCTCCCCCGCCCCACACAAATCCCTTCCATAATTTGTTTTTAATGCTATTTATTTATTTAGCTTCCTGGTCTAATAAAGTTTGTCTTCTTCATACAAGTCTGAAGTCCAAGTACCTAATTCCCCATTAATCACTGGAAGCAGAAAAAGTCAGAAGGGCATTACAGAACTCATATTCAGAGCTCAGGTCTTTGTGAAATTTCAGTCTGTGGAAGGTTATAAGTCTGAGGTCATTACAGTTAAAGTATTAGACAATCAGCCAGGCAGGCATGGTGGCACACACCTTTAATTCCAGTGCTTAGGAGGGAGAGGCAGTTAGATTTCTGTGATTTCAAGGCCAGAATGTTATACATCATGAATGTCTAGAACATCCAGGACTACAAAGAAAGACACTATTAGAAGGGAAAAAAAGTACTAGATAATCAAATCTGGAACTCACAGAGAACTATCTGAGATTTAAAGCGTAACTGAGTGTCTTAGTTATGGTTTCTATTGTGTAATAAGACACGATGACCAAAAGCAAATTGGCAAGGAAAAGGTTTATTTTATCATATACTTCCAGGTAACAGTCCATCACTGAAGGAAGTCTGGGCAGGAACTCAAGTAGGAGAGGGATCTGGAGGCAGGAGCTGATTCAGGGGCTATGGAAAAGTACTGCTTCCTCATTTGCTCCTCATGGCTTATTCAGCCAGCTTTCTTAAAGCACCCAAGACCACCAGCCCAGATGTGGTATTTCCCACAATGAGTTGGACCCTCTCAAGTCAATCATTAATTGATTAATTCATTAATTCACCACAGGTTTGCCCATAGGCAAATCTGGTGGGGGCACTTTCTCATTTGAGAGACCCTTTCCAAAAGGGTCTGTAATTTGTGTTAACAAAAGACTAGCCAGCATACTGGGTCAGGGAAGAGGATTCTGCAGTTACCTGAGAAATGAGGCTTTTCTTTGCTCTCCTGCCAGGTTTCTCCCTTGGTTTTCTGTTGTTTTTAACTAAGCCTCTATCATTCTATTTTATCAATAAAGACTTGGGAGCTGGATGCTGGGGTGAAAACCTGCTAGCTCAGAGAAGCAGAGAAAGCTCCCAGCTGACCATCCTCTTCAGCATTGTCCCAGAAAGTTTCCTCCTACACCATATGAAACAAAACCTCCTCCAACCAGGTGTCCCTCTTTCTACTTCTTGTATGTCTCTCTCTATATATCCTCCTTTTTTTTACTCTCTATGGATTTTTTTCTCTTATCAACTGGTTGCTTGCTCTGAATCTTGATTTTATTTAATTCTGCTTACAATATTCAGGCATAAAGCTCTTGGACTAAAGATGTGTGCTAGGGTTGAACCACACCACAGCTACAAGAAGGTTTTTCCAGTAAATAATGCAATGTCAGGGCTCACAGTGTGATCAAATTTCCTGTAACAGTTCTTGGCTTCTTTCAACCTCTGTAAACTTTTAGATGATGAAATCTAGCCAGGGTTGTGTGTACATGTGTGGCTGTGTTTTATGTACCTTACATGCATGTATGAAAGTGTTTATGAATATGGCCTAGGTGTGTGCATTATTGTGTACGGGATGGTTATGATGGTATACCTACATGCATGTGTATACTTTATTTGCATGTGCATATGTGGGTATGCTTATTTGGGATTGCCAATCAGGGAAATAATGTAATCAGTCCATTCTTGTAGAGTAATCCTAGACCCTCATAGCGCTCTCTCTCCTCTCTCTCTCTCTCTCTCTCTCTCTCTCTCTCTCGTGTGTGTGTGTGTGTGTGTGTGTGTGTGTGTGTGTGTGTTTAGATAAATAGGTAGATAACTGTTAGAAAATAGATGGATAGTAGAGAATTACTTAGCTCTTAAGAACAGAATAATCATGGTATTTGCAAAATGTTTAGCAAAATAATCCCGACTCAGAAACACAAATACTGTAGGTTATCTCTCATATGTGGAAATCTAAACAAACAAAAGACATGAATGTAGAGGAGGATCTATCAGGGAATAAGGAAAAGGAATTAGTGAACAGGACAAGTGTGGACAATAGAGAAATAAATACAAGCAAAGTATCTTACATGAGTGAAAATGTCACAATGAAACTCACTACTGTACAATTAATATACACTAATTAAAATATAGAAAATGATACCTTTAAAAAGACTACTGAGGCACTGCCTCCACCACCCAACTCCATATCTAGATTTCTCACATTTTCCTCCAGTGTTTAGCCTGGTGACTATCCACTACCACCCTATATTTGTCATCCCAACCCCCACAACCTGCCAGATTTAGCCTGGTTCTCACAGCCAATGCATCAACCTAGTCTGGCCTTTCCTGCCTTCACTACAGAGGAACTCTAGGCTTGGGCCAGTATTCTCCCTCCCTATTCTCCAAATCATAGGATTCTTCCATGTCATAGCCAACCTTTTTACTCAGATCTGTCTAACCCAACTTGGAATAGGAAGTACATCCTATTCCACCTGACTTTATTCCACTGAATACATTTTCAAATCCCTGACCCTACCAACTCCTACATCTTCTCTTCTTCTTCAACATGCTCCATCAATAGCAAACTTAGAACTAATAAAGTCCACATGCCCATATCTCATCACAGGAATTCCATCAACATGAAGGATCAAGTGGGCATCTTCTCTCCAAACCTGTGAGGTCTGTAGAAATGTTTGCCAATGGGAATTACTTAGCTGAATTCCAGGACACAAAAGGTAAAAGATCAATCATAAACTTCATCAAATAATTTGAGGAGTTTAAAAAAGACAAAGAATTGGGCGGTGGTGGCTCACACCTTTAATCCCAGCACTCAGAGGCAGAGGTAGGCGGATCTCTGTGAGTTTGAGACCAGCCTGGTCTACAAGAGCTAGTTCCAGGACAGCCTCCAAAGGCACAGAGAAACCCTGTCTCGACCCCCCCCCCAAAAAAGAGACATAAAGAAACAGCTCAATGAAATGAAGGAGAAAGAGCTGCAGGAGAATAAATACCTGAGTGATGAGCAAGAAAAGACAAATGTAAGGCTGATGAACATGACAAAGACAATTCAAGACTTGAGAATGGAATTCAAGTAGGGAAAAGAAGAACTGAAGAGAAATCAAGATGAAATGAAGGTGGAATTGAAAAACCCAATTGCCCAACTAGAAAATTCAAAGGAAAGATTTACAAGTAGAAAGAAAGAATCAAGTAGAAGACAGAATATCAGGTCTCAAAGATAAAACAGAGTGTATAGATCAAATAAACAGGAGAAAGAAAAAATTAAAATGTAGGAAAGAAACACACAGGAAATGTGGGACACCATAAAAACCAACCTTTTTAATTCTAGGCATAGACAAAGGAAAAGAATCCCAAGTCAAGCACACAGAACAGGAAGTAGACAGGGCTAGAAAAGAAAATCCCCACAGTGTATCAAAGTTAAAACATTAAGTATACATAACAAAGAAAGTACATTGAAAGCTTAAAGAGAAAAAAAATTAAGTCACATATAAGGAAAGCCCATTAGAATGATGGCTGGTTTCTCAGTGGAAACTTTTAAAGCTAGAAGAGCCTGAAGCAGAGCATTCGAGTCCTAGAAGACTATGATAGCCAATCCAAAATAGTATACCCAACAAAACTATCTGCCATGATTGAAGAAGAAAAATTTTCTACAATATAAACAGCCTAGAAAAATTTATATTCAACAAACCAAACCTAAGGAAAATACAGGAAACATTATTTCAAGAGAGGAATGAAAATAGAAGAGAGACCATAGAAAGAAATACAAAGCCATGATTATTAAGATACAAAAGACCACTGAGAAAACAAACAACAACGATGACAATTAACAAACACATCAATAATAACTTTAATTATCAATGACCTCAACCCTCCAATCAAAAAACACAGATTGACTGAATGGATCAATAAGCAAAAATCTATGCATCTGCTGCCTACAAGAAACAATTAGTTTTAAAGACAGGCACTGCCACAGAATAAAAGAATAAACAAAAGTACTCAAATCAAAAGGACTGGGGAGGAAGCAGGTGTTGCTAATTAAATATCTGACAAAGTAGACTTCAAACTAAAACTAATCAGAAGAGATACAAAGAGACAATTCATTCTAATAAAGGGAACAGCTAACCAATAAAACACATACATGAAACGTATATGTTCCAAACTTAGAGGTGCCCAATTTCATAAGAAGTCTACTACTGGAATTAAAAACACAGATTAACATTAATCCACCAATAATAAATGATTTCAAAATCCCACTTTCTCCAATAGACAGATCATCTGGACAAACAAAAATAGGAAAAGGTCAGAGTTAATTGACATGATGCATCAAATGGACTGATTTACAGAATACTCTATCCAAACACCTAAGAACACACTCTCCTCAGCAGCACATGGAAGCTTCTCTAAAGTAGGCATGTCTTGGGATATAAAACAAATCTTTAAAAACTCAAAAAGATTGAAATTACTTGAAATTACTTCTTGTGTCTATCTGACTCCAATGTAATAAAACAAAATTGACAGCAACAAAACCTCTACTTTGTCAGATATTTAAATATGAAAACTAATGGAGATTAAACAACCCATTA